GGGAAAGTTTTGGCAAAAAGTAAACCCTTCAGTTGTATTCATCTGCTTTATATCCTGACTATGTCTTCTATGTAAATGTCATAATTATTTTGCCTCAAGTGTCTTAAATCAACTGTTAAATGATAAACTACTTACAATAACCATATTCTTCTGTCCAATCATTGAAGTTACTGTCCTTCCCTTCCACTCCAAAAATGATCCAGAACGCTCTGTACTCCGACTTCCACACAGTTTAAAAACTTTTGGCATATTTAGGCCCCCGGTACTAACCCTCCAGAACTTAGGATCTTCTTCAACAAGGTCTGCTGAAATACAGAAAACGTAGGGTTTTCAGACTCAGCCATCTTGAAGGAAATGATGAATCCCAAAGGTATAATCTCGGTTGAATTTTTCAAAATGCCAGTTTTTCAAATGGTCATTTTCCCCAAACTTCCCAGAAAACCTGTCCCCCGGGCTGGGATGTAGTATGCAAAACTTTCTGGAGATCTTTCTCTGAGCAAGTTGAGGGTGAAGGTAGAATATCATATTTAAGGTTACTGCAGCTGTGGAACAAATAATGAGACTCCCCAAAGCTGACAGTTGCCAATTTATGTTGCTACATGTCCTGTCTAGAGCATAATGCAGCTGGATTTTTATTTCTCTTCATTAGGGTGGCATGCCCCAGGCTCGGAGGTCCTGGATTTGCAGTCTCTCTCTCTTTCTCTGTCTCATACACCCCAATTTCAGGGAAACGGTGTTTGAGACATTAGGGAAAGAAATGGTTGATCTCACATAAGTCCAATGGGATATGTTGTTCAAAAGGATCTGGGTTACAGTCAGGACAAAGTATTTGTGTAATTGCCATAAAAATGTTTTGTTTTTCTTCTTCTATGCAACTTCAACCAGTGTACTTCACTTCTATTCCTACATGACAAGTATGTAATTCACTTGACCTCAGAGAAGGGGAAACAGCTGTCAAAAAGGTGCTATTATACATACTCCTGCACCAAATATTGGAAACCTTGATAAAACAAGAGGAACTAATCAGTTTTGAGACTGCTCTGTTAGTGCTGTGATATTAGCATTGTTTATGCTAAATTCAGATACATGCAAGCTCTGGGTACACACATGGCCTTAGGACTGAAAAAAGGCTATCCACTTAAATGAAGTACACTGTATAAATACTGCTTAATGGGAGACCAGAGATTGTCAGATACGTCTGAATTTAAGAAATGTAGGGCTTGTCTTGGCACAGAGTTATTCAGGAAAATCTGTTCTTTTATAGCTGTCTGTGTGGATGCCTATTCCAGAACAATAACCCTTTTTCAAGTTACTTCAATCTGCTTTGAAAATAGATTAAGTAGAGAAAGCTAAATCAAGCAGTTTTATTCCAGATTAAGGATACTTATACATGGAGTTGTTCCAGAATGGGTATATCAATTTAAATTAATCTTCTGCTGCCTTTTGGAATAGTTTTCATGTGTAAACAGACAAACCCTTACTGTGTTCAGGTGTTGCCATCCGAGAAAACTGTCATGATCTAGTTATAATAATACACAACACTGCAGTCTTACAAGGCTCAAATCCTATAAATGGCAAAGACTTTGTATGTATGTAATTTAATTAAATTAATAATCAGGCCTGGTAAATGTTGATTCTTTTCCTTAGAGGAAGATATCATTGAAAAATAGTTTGTTTTCACATCTGCAGGGGGGCTGGACGCAATGATCTGTAAGGTCCCTTCAGCCCCTAACAACTATGAAACTAAACAATGTTAAGGTTGACTTTGATTGCTCCCCCTTATTGTATGAGAGGGTAGTTCCAGAAGGAGGTGTTATTTCCACAGTTGCCAATTTCCCAAAGTGAAATTTAATAGAACCTCAGAGGACTTGAAAATAAGTCCCTCTGTCTCAATTTTGTATGATTTTAATCTTAATGCACATGAATGTTTCTGAAGGCTTGAGTACTTAAGTGAATTAGTGCATGTTAAAGATTAGCATGTGCTGATGCACCAAAATATTATCACCTTTGTTTCCATTTCCTTAATGTAATCAGAGGCTAGAAACAAAAGATAGTAACCAAAATATCTCATATTCTTCAAGGTCCAAATATGAAATGTGGTGTGCCAAAGACAAAAATGAGGGCTGTGGTAGGGGGGCAGGGGTGAAGAAACAAGAGAAAGGAAAATAAGTTAGTTAAACAGGAAGTTTAATATTCTGAAGAATTCCTTCCTTTAACTGTTGATAACTCTTTCTGCAAATTCTCCTTCATGATTCTTTCTAAAGCAAATAAATTTCACTGGTAAAGCTAAAAGGACATCACATTTTTTGTAATCCGATGACTAAAATAAGTGGTTTCAGAAGGAAATACACTTGAGAGTTGTAGTAACCTTAAGAATTTCAGACCAAAATACCTTGTACTTCTGAGGTTCCTTGTTTTTTCCAGAAGAATATTGGCATAAAGAATGTTTTTTTAAAAGGCCAGAAGAGTAGCATGGCACTAGTCAATGCAACAAAATCAGGCCCCATGTGGCCTCAGCTGGCTCTGTACACTGGGATGGGGCCCTACACCAGGTTCAGGCCTCTGATGCCCTGTGTGCCCAGTGTAGTGTACAGGTCCACACAATCCAGCCCCACAGGTGCAGAAATTTGGCAGCAGGAAATTGGCAATTAATGCTGCCACCCCTCCCCTGTCACACAAGTTTTAGACCCATGGGGAGCTCCAAGGGCAGGGTGACACACCAGAGGCCAGGTCTGGCCCATGGACTGAGGGTTGGACACTCCTGTTTTAATATGTTTAATATTAAGCACATTCTTGTCTTCTATTTTTTTAATAGAGAATCTTTCTACAATTAGGATCCCAGGTATTCAAAGTGATATATATTTTAATTGTAATGTGTTTACGTAAAATTTGTCCATTCTTATTAATCACTGGAGACTTTGCTCCAGTCATTCCAGACATGGGGGTGGAGGGGAGCTACAGTTTCACCTTTTTATTTTTGCTTTTATTCATTTTCCTTCCAGTTTCATTTTTGAGCACCATGTTGCCTTGCCTCTCTAGCATTATTTTAAGACCTTTCTTTTTGGTTGTAAATAATTTTACATTGAATACAATTATGATGTTTCAGGCAGGTACTTTTCTATTTAAGGTACGTGTATGACCTGCTATGCAACTTAATGAGCACTTGGTAGTGTGTAAGTTTTTTATCCTACCAGCAACCCTGTGAGACAGGCGAGTATAAACGGGGAAAAAATGCAGAAAGGATAGCTTTCCCAAGGTCACAAAAGAGGAAAGGCTCAATTCCCTTCTTACAAGGTCTCTTGCACTGCCTACCTGGCTTCTCAGTGGAGTCGATTTCCAGAAACCAACCTGGTAGCTTTTGTTATAGCAAGCGTCTCAACCTGAGTGCTGTGTTCAAATCCAAATTCAGTGTTTGAACTGGGATCAGAAAGTGTGGGAGTGTTTACATCTTGGAATTTGATTCAAGCCTATCTCTAAGCAAAACACTAGCAACAACTGGAAGTCTGGATAGTGAATTTGAGCAACAAATATCTGAATGCCCAAGAACTTGAATAATAACACTTCCATGACCTGTGAAAAAGGGCAGATTAAAGGAGAACAGTCTTCTGGTG